ACGTACGAGCACCAGCACACGTCCTCGTCGAATCATTCGCTCGACCCCATTTTCACAATTTTGTTTCAAGTTTCACCTCTCCGAGGTTTCACTTGCCGGGGGCGTGATAGAACGTGTACTTAGCTCGGCTGACTCTTTCAACATTCTGTTATCTTTCTGTTCCATATTCTTAGCAAGTGGTTTCACCCACAACCCTTAGGAATAGCTGAGCATTGTTACATCCCATTGTTGTATAAATATGTACTCTCAATAATACAAGAATCAGATTTCGCAGTACATTTACAGTGTCCTCGAGTGAAGTTAAAACTAAGGGTCGCTTGTCACAACTTTAATGAACCATAGAAGGATGATGCTTTTGGGAATAACTTTGGTGATAAGAGAATTGGTGAGGACTATAAGCTTAATTGTCTAGGTTGTTGTGATGTGGTTGTAGCTTCTTTCAAAAGTTTCAGCATTGGTTCCAAGGTGGGTTGTGGAATGGGTATAGACTCTTTTGGACGAGGCAGAGTATATGGTTTAGAAGAGCCATATAAGGAGGCCTTGGTAGTCAGTATTGGAGGGTTGGTTGATCTGAATTAGCAACAGGGTTGTAGGTTGTTCAGAGGCAGTAAGGAGATTGTGTTACAGTCCAACTATGTTCTTGTTGATATTTGTGATAGGGGACCAACTCCAGGCTTTCAGGAGCCATACAAAGACTCAACAAGCAAGGTTGGGTATTGTGAGGGGCAAGACTTGTTGCATCGATTGCGAAATGTGCTGCAACTGCAAGGACTAAGCATAAAGCTGTTGAATTGGTCTTTTTGGTTCCTTTCTCATTACATTCTGTTTTCTTCTATGGGTTGCTGTATTTTCAGTTGTTTTCTTTCAACCTTGAGGACAAGATTGTTCTCGAGGAGTGGGGATTGTAACGATCAGGACTAAATGGTCATACATGTATTTATTGGGGGGTCTTTTGTAATTCACCTAGGCTATAAAACAGAATTGTGCTTGTAATGGGATTCAACAAATTAGAGAAATCAATTTGCTTCTCCTTCTATATTTTCCCTTCTCCTACTGCTCTGTTTCGACCTTCTTCTTCTTTTCCCCCTAATTCCCCTCTCAATTCTAATGTTGTGTTCAACTAATTCGTCGGGATCATCACAGAGATTTTGAATTAGGCAGTAGATCCAACTCGTATAGAGAATTAGGGATTTTCCCCCCTCGGACCAATTCTTCCTCAATATTGTATGGAACAGGGACCTGCGTACTTCCTCCTCTTGTTCGGCATTTTTAATTGAGAGTGGATGGTGACAGTGGGTTTTCAAGTGAGGAGATGGTGGTAATTGGCAATTGATTTCTTGGTGGGGATTTGAGTTAGGAGGGATATAAGCAAAAGTAATTAATTTTGTGGTGGTTGTTTTCATTGGAGTTGATTTTTGAAATCTAAAGAGCTTTGAAGTTTATGTGATCCTAGCGGAAAGAGGGTGATGGCTGCGTCGATGATGATTGTTTGCCTTTCTTTTTTTTTTTTTTCTTTTCTTCTTTCGTTTGCAAGAACGAAACGTTGAAGGAAAATATGTATTTTTCTTCAAAAAGGTGTAACTTTTTAATTTATAAAACAATAGAATCACAGGGTGCCAAACCATGTATTTGAGAAATACATTAATTTGCTGGAATACATACAAATATAATTACGATACAACAATTCTTTGAACCCATCAAGGCTAAATTACACGTTTGGTCACTCAAATTATACGAATCTTTCACGTTTGCCACTCGAATCACTTTTCTTTCTTATTCGCCACTAACTTTACGAATCGTTTCACCATTAGTCACCGACCGTCCAATTTTGTTAAAATCATCATACGTGGCAGTCAACCAAACCCTTTGACCGTTAGTTTGATGATGTGGCAATTAAAAAATTATTAATATATATTTTTCAAATTAAAAAATAATATAAAAATATTTTCAGTCTGCTTCCGATTCCTTCCGCCACTTCTTGCTACAGAGTTAGAGCCGAGTCGTCCAGAGTCTGCTCAGCTCAGTCCCTGACCGGAGCAAATTCAAGAGCGGTGGCGATGCAACCAAAATACCGATCGCTGTGCTTCGGGAAACCCATCATTAAATACATCAATCACGGCGGGAGAAGCCTTGACCATACAATCTTCACCTTGTTATGTTATTGCAACGAGTAAAGTTCACATGAATAAAATTAGGGTTCGCAAGGCGCAGAGAATCGCCGGAGTGCAGAGATTGACGGAAGCCTCTTCTTTGGCCCTGGTTTTTTTCCGGAAAGAAAGGCCTCTTCAATTTCGAACACTAGTGGATTCTAGATTCTTCAGCTTGGCAAGGAGCGCTTTCTCCACCGGGTCAAATACAGTTTCGTTGGCCTCGGATGAGGACGAAGCAGAGCGGGAGGAGTAGCATCTTGGTCGGGTCAGTAATTGGAGCGGGATCGACGAATTGGACGGCTCTGGCTCAATACCGGAATAAGGAGATCGGGAGAGGCCTCCCCAACTCCCAATTCTTACTCTCCATGGCTTCCCCATGACCGCCGTCTAGTCCGCCACTTTCGCGAAGTTTGCCACCCAAAACTTTCTCGCCACTCAAATCCCGGCGTTTTGCTCTGCTGCCAGGCTCCTCTGCTTTCCTGATTGTCCCTTTGCCTCGAGAAGAATGTCGAAAAGGTCATTTCTTCCCCGAACCATATTCTCATAACTGCCCTTCGCCGCATCCCAAATCGACGAGCTGTAGCGGATCCACCACGCCGACGACAACTTGACGATGGAGGGCATGATCGTGAACTCGCTCACCAAGTGCGAGCGGCTCCGATCCCCGGCGAGACGAAGCTGTGCGTGGGGTCGGCGGAGGAGATGATCGACTTCGCCACGTCGGTCCTGGGCCCTGGAGGAATGGTTTGGCAGCGGATTTAAAATTATTATATATTATAAATTATTTTTTAATTTGAAAAAATATATATTAATAATTTTTTAATTGCCACGTCATCAAACTAACGGTCAAAGAGTTTGACTGACTGCCACGTAGGATGATTTTAACGGAATTGGACGGTCGGTGACTAATGGTGAAACAATTCGTAAAGTTGGTGGCGAATAAGAAAGAAAACTGATTCAGGTGGCAAACGTGAAAGATTCGTATAATTTGAGTGACCAAACGTGTAATTTAGCCAACCCATCAATTTAGATAATCACAACCTCCAAACATGTTCGTAGTTTCTAGTGGTACTAGTAAATTGGTGTGCTAGCCGGCCTAGAATACCAATTCCAAGTCTCGATTCCAGCACCTTTTGCAATGAACACTCGAAATCCACAACTGCCCACAGATGACCACTCGAATATCAAAAGAAGATTTAGCCACTCGAGTCAGTATTTGGTTACTCCTCCTTCCCAGTCAAACAACAAAGCATCCCCAAAAAACATTTCAAGTTGAGCCAAATTTTTGTATTTATCATCTCACAGCGTGAAGCCAAAGATTGTCATCGACCAATCATACACAAGACTCAAACCGTTAAGTTAAAGAGAAGACAATTACGAGGTCCAAGTCCAACCCCAACCTAGCACAAAAGAAGCTCATTATTCCTACTCACACCATCCATCCAACTCATACATACATACAAACATAAGGCACAAGTAACATGAATCAATGTCAAAGAGTAACGTCTAAACACAGCCACACAGCACAAACCAATGATCACAATTCACAGACAGCTTGGAATGCATGCAAGACATTGATGATACACCAAACCCAACCAACCATCGAAACTAAAAACAAAAAGATCTTCATTTAACACAACAATCTGTCTGCACCGGTCAAAGGAAAAGATTTCATCATCTCACCCTTACTCAAGCAGGATCAGACCGAATTCCTGGCACGAAAAAAAGATCACAACTATATGGATTGGGTTGGAGTTGGACTGTTCTAACCCCCAAAATCTCTGAGGAATATTCTGATATAATGTGTTGCATATCTAAACCATTCAAAATTCCAAATCCTAACAGCATTATCCACAAGCTAAACCATCCATAACAGTATGACAAGAACATCACACACGGATTGCAAAAGCTAAGAGCAGAAGGGATATACAGTTACATGGTCCCCTATATTCGAAAACCAGGATGGTCTTTTGAGGAAACTGGGAGCATTAATAATTGGGTATGCTTTACTTTTCTTGTGGGGAACCAATAGCCATACCTAATTCAAGAACAACTTACAAAACAGTTAAGAGGGCAACCAGAAAAAGCAGAGCTCCAAATAGCAAAGCTAGCTCTTGCACAAGCAATGAGTCACACACAGCTTGGCTACTACTACAAAGAGAAGCTGATATAAAGAAGAGGAACACAGCGAATGCAACAATGAAAAGGACAGGCATCATAAGAGAAGCAAAGGAACAAGTCACTGTCTATTAGTAAATGAGATTACCCATTATTGCAACTAACACAAGAGGGAAAGGGATGACATCCAGAACCCATTAAAGAGCTCTCTGTAAGTAATGCAAGGAAGCATCAAAATGCTGGAATCAACCACAAACAAGCAACCAACTAGAGTAAATACAAGTGAAGCAAAGAAAGATTGGACTGAACAAACATGTATCCATTCCCATATATATAGAATCTGAGTATCAGAACACTTCAGAACGAGAACAGTTGAGAGTTTCACAATCCAAACAACCATATGGGCATCTCATCAAATCCATTTCCTGCTGCTCTCTCTACTGCCTAACCCTAACAAGAGAAGTCACCACCATCGCATAGACCTTTAAGAGGCCTCTAAGAGCGCAAAAGCATCCAAAACCACAAGAACAACCATTGATTCCAAACATCCATCCAACACTAAACAAAGAGGACAACAAGCCCCCCAAGAATTCACCATACTAGATAATCCGAAAACAGAAAAGAGAATAACAAAAGCCAATCACCAACGAAACAGCTCAAATAACAGAGATCTGCAAACATGTGAAATCGCTTCACACCTTGCGGACCACTACCCTTCAGAGGAGTGAGAAATCAGCGCCCCCCGCCGCCGCCGCTGTTGGGACATTCCCTGGCGAAATGCCCACTCCCACCACAGTTGTAGCAGCCGCCTCCGCCACCACCACCTCCTCCGTACCTGCCGCCACCACCGCCTCCGCCTCCACGGGGACAGTCCCTGGCCATGTGCCCAGGCTCGCCGCAGCTGAAGCAGCCACCGCCTCCACCTCCGCTACCACCGTAGCCTCCTCCACGGCCTCCCCTGCCACCGCCTCCTCCGTACCCGCCACCACCATAGCCTCCTCCGCCACCGTAGCCTCCTCCGCCGCCGTAGCCACCTCCGCCGCCGTAGCCGCGACCGCCGCCGCCGCCGCCTCTTCCACCGCCTCCGCTGCCACCGCTGGGACCTCCCTGGACGGGAGCGCCGTTGGGTCCGGTCACGTCGATCGCCTTGGTACGGCCGTCGTTGGAGTCCTCGATCTGGTACTCAACCTCCTCATTCTCGCCGAGGCTTCGGAATCCCTCAGCTCGAATGGAGGTCTGGTGAACGAACAGATCCTCGGTGCCGTCGTCGGGGGTGATGAACCCGTAGCCCTTCTGATCATTAAACCACTTCACCTTCCCGGTAAGCCGATCGCTCATCTTCGCCCGCCGCCGATGTGAAACACAAGAAACAGAGTGTGAGAGAAAGAGAAAATCCCTAAAATAAAATCTGAGAGAAAGGGTTTTCGGTTTTTCTTCCCAATATGTGGAGAGCGAGGGGCAGAGAAAAGAAAGAGAATCTTATATAGGGAAGGGTTACGGTGCCACGTCGGCGGGTGCGGGGAAGGCGTAAATCGCGTGTGGAAGGGAATCGAAGCGACGGCTGCGGATTTTCCGATCGGACGGCTGGGGGTTACGGAGGAGTTGATCTTAGCCGTTTGATATGGGTGGGGTGGGGAAGCCGTGGGGCCGCGTTTAGCGGGGCCCGAGGGAGGGGTGAGATATCGTATGAAAATACCTTCCTATCCCCTTTGAGATTTTATTATTATGAGAAGTTTTTTTTTTTTGCAATTTTCTTTTTCGGGTTTTTCTCAATTTAGTATTAAGCAAGGTTGTAACCCGCGGGTCGACCCATTTTGACACCTAGCCCGGTGAGAAAAACGGGTCGCACGTAATTGTCGGGTCGACTGCTACAATGTAGCGGTTGGAGGTTAAATTGTGTCATTTTTTTTTGTTTGCGAAATGCGCCTATTTTTTATTTTTCTTTTTGCCTTTACACTATGTTTGGGAAGAGGTGCAAATGAGAGGGGTAACTACAGTTTTCAAGACATTTGCACCCGTTTGGATAATTTGTAACAGTAAGGGGTGCAAAACGGGGTGCATAATAGTATTTCAGCTTACACCCCTAATTGGGGTGCAAGAGAAGGAAGGAAGGGGGAGGGGGGAATTATGGATTTTTTTTAATTATATTTTAATTGTATTATAATTACTTAATAATTAATATTATTAATTTTTTGTTATAGCTATCATTAATGTAGACGTTGTTCGGGGTTGACCGTTTGACTTCGAGAGTAAGTTTGTCAATGTTCGTCTAGTCAAATCGATATCTCTTGGTTGACTCAAATTTACATTGAAAATTAGAAATAAGAAGCGTTTGTGGAAAAGATAGAGGAGCGGTTTAGTTGACTCAGTTTACTTAACTAAATAGGTAAAACTTACAGATTTGAACGTGTTTGACTAAGTTTGATCATATTCAATTTAAATATAGGCACGAGAACCCCCTTAAGAGGACCAGTTACAAGTTGAGTTTCGAGGTCGCTCAACCAATGATTATTATTGTTGTTATAATTAATTATTATTTGAGCATTATTATAAAATAATTGTTTTTTTTATGAATCGTTGGGATCTTATTCACAAAAAGCGCTTTGCTAGCAACACCCTTGCTAGCTAGGGTAGTTTAAACCTTAACTGTAAAACAAGAATGCACCCTCTAAGACAGATTTCTACTGAACATTGCAAAAGAGACTCACCCTATCACTGCCTAGCACATACAGAATCTCAGATTTGATGGCAAACAACAAATCCTGGAAAACCACGAGCAGCACCTCCATACAGTCGACGACAGAGTTCCCTCCAGACCTGGCTTACCCACGATTGCCAGATAAGTCTTCCCACTTCAGCAGCGTCAGTCTACTGGCTATACTTCATCAGCATCCATGAAATCATTTCCTCCCAAGTTTGGGTTTGAGGAACGTGCATAGAACCACTAAACAGCTCATCAAAAAGCTGCCTGGTGAAGGGACAGAGTACAAACAAGTGTTGTCTGCTCTCAGCCCCTCCTCCACAAAACACACAATCCATCAATCCCAAATATCCCCATTTCTGCATTTTTACCTTTGTTTGTATACTTCCTATAACTACCAACCAAGTAATCAAACGATTGCTTGATATTGCCTTACCTTTCTAGAGAAGTTTCCACCAATCCACCTTCTGCTGGGTAGGTCTAAGGAGCTGCCACATTTTTTTAATAGAGAACCGAGGCATAGGTAGATTATCAAGCAGCAGGACACCCTCTCTGATCGAGATGAAAGAAGAAACCCTACTTCCGAGCTTATGAATTTTAGACCAGTTCTAGGACCCTGATGTGCATGTGTAGGTCCAGAAGCATCTACCTTTCAAATATATTTATTATTTTTATATATTGATTTTTAATTTTATTATTTTCTGATAATATTTTATAAATTTGATAAATCTATTTTATAATAATATAATTACTTACTTTTCAGTCTATTTGCACCCCCTACTTTATCATCCGAACAACAATTTACTCCTCCACTTACACATCCCATCAAGTTACACCCCCAACAATTTACTCCTCAACTTGCACACCCCCTTGTTGCCAAACATAGTGTTAACTCAACTTTTGGAATCCTAAGTTGAACATTTGAATATATATGTTATATAAGTGTGTGTTAATCTTCAATATATGTTGGATCTAAGTACGTCATGTTATTTTGGTGGAATATTATATGTTATAACTCATATGTTAGATGATATTTGATATAATTTATCGGGATAAGTACAATATAATGATTCTTTCCATATTTCCGGGCTAAATCGGGCTAAAACAAGTGACACATTAACCCTTGAATCACTAGCTCGACCGGGGCCGGGTCAACCTGCGGATTGACAACCTTGGTATTAAGGTTTTGCAATTTTATATTATTTATTGGATTAGGGTTTGTAGATTTTAAGAAGAGAGAATGTTAGAAGACTGGTCAAAGGGACAGTCAAAGCATCTGTACGATTGGACTCGTCAATACAATCTGTCCTTCCCTTTGGGTGGAGCAAGGCAAGGGCAAAGGCGTGTTCTTGACTTCTTGTTCTATTCTTTTTTTCTCGTCGTTCTTGTTCTATTCTGGGAGAATTCCCTAAATATTATTTTTTTTTAATTTACCACGAATATAGTCGTTTAAAAACTATTTACAAGAATATTGTGTTTTTTTATATGTTTAATGCGCTAAAGCCTTAGACTCAGGAGCCGGGGCTATGTGTTGTTTTAACAAGAAAACACAGAGGCAGCGCCAGAGACTGGGGCCTTTAGCCTTTAAAAATTATGAAAGCGGCGCCGCCCCAGACTGGGGCTTTGTCGCTTATAAATAGGTTAAAGCGTTGGCGCCCCAGACTGGGGCTTTGTCGCTGCCATTTTTTTCCACTCCACCACCACCCACACCATATATACTGCACCTTTCCTTCGGTTCTTCATCACCAAAAAGCTGAAAGAAGTTCCGAAAGAAGCTCTGGTGTTGCTGTCTGGTTGCTGGGAAGATGGCTAATAATAGGTAAGAGTCGTATTTTTTTTTCATGTATTCATCATAATGATTTTGTCCAGTTAGTAACAATTAGTGAGTTTGTTTTTTTTGTAGTGGTTTTAGAAGATTTGAACTAGCTGTTTGGTGGCGATCAGAGAAAGTAGAAGACAATTTGGGTGTCCATTTTGTTGGTGGTGTAAATTTTCAGATGACTATTCCATCCAGGGTGAACTATCAGAAACTTTGTGATCATCTAATTCGGAGAATACGGATTAGAGACGAAACAGTACAAGATAGTGTTGTGATTACAGGTTTCACCTACTGTCTTCCAGAATGGCAGAATGGTGTTTTATTTCATTATGCAATGCCTATTGTCGATGATGATAGCTTAAATATGCTTTGGAATTTTATGGCACAAAATCCTTATTGTTTGGGTGCTGAGATACATGCTGAGCTCAGTGAGGATCGGGGTGGAGAGGAAGAAGATGACACATGGAGCATGCCATCTGATCATGATTATGATGACGGAGATGAGGAAGACGATGAGGATGAGGAGGAGGAGGACGACGACGACGACGGGGAGGGAGGAGAACAACCTAATTATCCTCCATATTTTTACTTGCAGGGTAATGAAGAGGACGAGGAATTATCATATGCTGATTCATATGGCGTAATTCCAGGATCTATTGTTGGTGGTTTTGATGGAGAATTCTACAAGGGGCAAATATTTCACTCGAAACAAGCTGCACAGGTGGCGATTAAACACTATGCACTACAACGCAACTTTCAGTATAACGTGGTGGAGTCGTCACCTTCAATATGGAAGATCAGATGTTTGATGCAGAAGGAGGACAAATGTCCTTGGATGGTGCGGTTTGGATGTCGAGATGTGGGAGGCGATTGGAGCGTGAGAAAGGCCAAGTTGGTGCATACTTGTAGCAGTACGACTCAACCGACGGATCATCGCCATCTTGATGTCGACATTATATCTGAGTCTGTGAAACACTTGGTACGTGCTCAACCAAATTTGAGTGTTCTAACTGTGCAGGCCGAGTTGAAAGATAAGTTTAATATGCAAGTTACTTACAAGAAGGCTTGGTATGGGAAACAAAAATCATTAGAGAAGTTGCATGGACATTGGGAAGAATCCTATGATTTTTTGCAAACATTCTTGCGGGTGGTCAAGAGAAAAATGCCAACATCGGTGATTGATTGGGTAAGAGTTCCTTCGACTCAACCAGGTCATTCGATATTTCAGCGAGTATTTTGGGCTTATGGACCTTGTATAGATGGATTCAAGAATTGTCCAGGCGTCATGGTTGTTGATGGAACATTTCTTACTGGGAAGTATAAAGGAGTGCTACTCATGGCGAGCTCATTTGATGGCCGGAAGAAGATTTTTCCAATTGCATTTGCCATAGTGGAGAGTGAGAATACTGATAGTTGGCCATGGTTCATAAGTCACGTTCAGAGTTTGATGATCGAAATGATGTATGCATCATCTCAGATAGACATGCAGGACTCTATGAAGCCATGAATAACATCGGAAGAGGTTGGGAGTGGAGGTGGTGCATGCGACACTATGCAAGCAATTTTCAAAGGAAGACTAAAAGCAGAATTATGTATAAGCAACTATTTCGAGTCGGTAAGCCTTCTTCATTTAATTTTGTTATTTATTTTTAGGTAATTTTGTCATGAATTTATCTAACCCGTGTAGTTGATTATTTTGTTAGCCGGAGAAAAACGCTTGGAGAAGTTCGATCGTCAAGTTGAGCAATTTAAGAAGGTGGCCACTGATAGAAATATTTCATGTGATAACTGGGTGGACTAACATCAGATTAGTTGGAG